CCATTGCTTTCAAACAAAGGTTTTTCTTCATTCAGAATTGATAACAGATTAACATCCACCACCTGAGCAAATGTCAAGGTGGCGAAATTCTGATTTGCCTCAGTTAAGTTTCTAATTGTTTGTCAGCATCTTTGTATAAACGATTAGTTGTCTTTAAAATTTTGGAAAATCATATGAAATTTTAGTAAGCTATCATGTGGACAGAAAGATAATGCTATAACAGACTGATTTAGACACTTGCATTCTCAGACTGGTAAACCCTACTATAAACGTAATACACCGCGAGTGGCACAGAGCTGGTCCTTGATGTTGTCGCCAGTTTTTATTCATGACATCATTACGATTATTATAATCCTGTAATGATGTCATTAATTAGCAGTTAGCGTCCACAATATAAAGACTCAAAGCTATGAAAAATTAAAAACATTAGCAACAAAGGGATAAAATAGATATGAATGTGTTGTTCAGCTGTCACAGATAGATAAGGTTGTCCCTATAGATTAAATAGCCTTTCACTGAAGACTTCACAGCTATGTGTGTTTATCACTGTCTCGTTGATTTACACACTAAACATATCAAAATATCATCATTACTTTCATAGGTTAAATGTACATTTTGGGTATATTTAACAAGTCTAGGCCCAAGGGCCTTGATAGCTCACCTGGAATTTTATTTTGAATTTTTAAACCTGTTGAAATACCAAACATGTTTGTCAAAAGAGTGTTAAATATTCAAGCTGTTAAAACAGGATACATCTTGGTCTTTGTTGGAAGATTGTTTTACAATACTAGTTTGAACAAACTTTTCAATCCCTGCACATGTATGTAGCATATGAACTTGAGATTCTAGCATTGAGGAAATAGTTTGTTCGATTAAGAAAACATTGCATCTCTATCATCTTTTACTTGTCAGCTAATTCATACATTGGTATTATTGCATATTGTAAGCATTTAATGTCCCCGAAGGCAGCCCTGTACTTCTTTTAGCCTAATGTTATACCAGCACAGAATTGTCCATTAATGTGGTTCAACCCTACAAATAGAATACCTTGATCCGAATCTGGCTCATTTAGGATTAGTCCAATATTCTACCTGAGGAGAGAAAGCTTTTTTTTCTAAATGAAACTTGATGATTCATTAAAAATGGGGTAATGATGGGAAATGTTTTGCAGAAAACATCAACTTTTGTATGTAATCAGAGCAACACGACATATTTTTGAACTATGTGACTTTTCAAATTGCATTAATTTATTATAAAATGTGAATGTATATATATTCATACACACATTGCATTCGTGGAATGAGGGGCCTATTGTATTACAATTATATGGTTAATTTTACTTAAACACATTCACCCCTGGAGACACATTTGAACTCCTCCAATTCAAAGGTTGGAATAGATCATTATAAAATTTCAGGGGTGAATGATCATGAGTTAATCATACACTGTGATATCACCCCGTGAATGGATATAACAGCACCAGAAATATATCTGTACACGCAATACATTGATCACATAATGTACCAGGTTATCCAGTGACTATACCCATGTCATGTTGTTTTGCGTATTAACCCATGTAATATGACCTCTCAGCCCTGTGATTGGTTGTAAGTTTTAATTGTTTCAATTGTGATGTCACGCCTAGTACAAGTACATGACGTCACTGACTTTATTACGCACTGGAGTCAAAATGGCTGCTTTTTTCATTTTAAGGTTGCATGAAAATTGTCGTTTTACACGAAGGAACGCCAATTATTTCTGTAATTTTTCAAAAGAATTCAATTAAAAAACAGAAATATGATATGAGCATAACCAGCACATCCCTACAAACCCCTACCTCATCATCATGGTTGTCGTGGTCATTGTGATTATTTTAGATATTTGTCACATATTCACCGACAAACACACACATATATATTACATACAAATGTATCATCATCATGTTTGTGAAGGGCTTTCAACACATTTGATTTTGGGGATTTTAAAAGTGTCGACCAAGGTCATTTAGTCTCACTGAAAACATGATCATAGTACAAAACTGTAAAATACTAATTAAGGAAAGAAGGAATTAAAGGAAAGAAGAAGTGAGATAAAGCCGCAGAAGGGAAGGGATTACAGAAAGAAGATGTTAGGGATGGAGAGGGGGGGCATATCAGGTGGAAGAAAAAGTGTATTGTTGATTGAGTGGGGGGG